GGTTCCAGAAAATATTGCATTACTGACATTACATTACACTTCACATTACACTATTTCACTACATTGAACTACAGTACGGGACATTACAGTGCGTTACACTACGTCACACTAAATTACACTGTGTCGTATTGTGTTGTACTGAATTGTATTACCCGCGTTACCATAGTATAAGGTATTGCGTCCAAGAATGGTATGCTTCAATGTGTTATACTGTACTATACTATACTGTCCTATACTCCCTATACTATAGTCTACTCTACTCTACTGTTCTAAGCTAGGCTAAACTATACTAAACTATGCTACACTGTACTAAGCGTTACTACGCTATACTCAGCTTTACTAAGCTATACTCTAAGGCATGGCAATGCCTCTCCTACAACCTAATCCCGAAAACGCTGTAAACCGTCAATAGCCCCGTCCAAAAATCAAAGCCACATGAAGACCTACGTACATTATGCTCGGTGACTTGTGCCTTTCAGTGTTTGACAGGCGAGCCTACGTTCCATCAAGGAGGTGGTGAGCCCACGAGCTGCACAGAAGGAGGTACGCCATGTTTTGGGGAGTTGACGTTCTGTGGTTTTCTCGGAGGGTGTGGAGCTTTGTGGATTTGGCTTTCTATAAAGGGCCATAATGGCTTTCCAAGCTTTTGTGGTTTAGGAGCGTAAGGGATTCAGAAGTGTCAGTCGTTGCAGCCAAGGCGACGGTTCCCATAGCACCCAAACCTTCAACCCGGGGGCCAAAGGAGTCTAGGTCTTCAGGGTCGTCGACTTCCACGCCGTCACCCCGAAATGCCCAAAGCCCTTGATGATAGGCCTCATTGCTACTGCTGTTCGTGTGCGGCTTCTGTCATTCCTCTCGTGGCTCTTTCGATCGAGTTATCAGCATCCCGGTTAGCCAGCCAATGACACCCCCGCTGCTCCTCCATGTTGAGGCCGGAGCAACTGTCCGTGTGCCGGATGAGGTTGTGAAGCAAGGGGCCTGGTTAGCGCCTGCGAGGCTGATTGATTGGGTGATTAAGGTTTGGGGCTTAGCTTCAGGGCTATGCGGAATGATAGGGTTTAGGGTTGAAGGGTTGAGGGTGATCGGGTGGGGCAGCATCTTCAGAGTTTCCTCACGAAAAAAAGGGTTGACTCCAAGTACATACAAAGTTGCGGGGTCTACATAGGCTGTGTCGGTGGAGAATCTGGTGGCATTGACAGAATGTCCACCACTCCTAGTGCTGCTGCTCCTTTTGCTTCATTCCTCTTCTCACTAAGCGCTAGTACTGCCACTACTGCTTCTGCGGCTACTACTGCTGCTGCTGCTGCTGCTGCTGCTACGACGACTCTACTACTACTATCATCTTCTACTATCTACGACGACGACGACGAGTACTCCTTCTCCTACTCTTACTAAACCTTCCTACTACTGCTACTACTCCTGTTGCTGCTGCTACTACTTTCTGCTACTGCTGCTGCTGCTGCTGCTCCTGCTACTGCTACTGCTACTGCCACTGCTACTGCTGCTGCTGCTGCTACTACGACGACGACGACGACGACTACTTCTGCTACTGCTCGTGCCCCCGCTCCTACTCCTACTACTGCAGATGCTACTATGCTTCTGCAGCCCCAAGCCCTAAACTCTCAACCCCGAATTTTAGACTTTGAAACTTGAAATCCCAAACCCCGCACCCCAAACCGTAAACCCCAAATCTAACAGTCACAACTCTATAAGCCCCGCCCCCCCATTCTCCAATTCCTGAGTGACTCTATAAGCCACCCCCCGAACATAATTCTTCTTAAGGTCCCTGAACGTGCTGCGCTCGGCCGCTGGATCTTTGGGAAGCTCCAGGTCTCGATCTGCGTCTCTTGCAGTGGGACATAAAGGGGTTTAAGGTTCAGGGGTTTAGGGTTTTTGAACCCTAAACCCTACACCCGATGAGTTTGGACTTGATGTAGTAGTTCGGGTTTGAAAGACGTCTTTCTGAAGGCTTCGAAAGGATTGATAGAACGGCCGAGATAAGGGTTTCAGGTGCAGGTCTTTGGGATGTTTGGACACGTGGTGTGTGGCAACAGCGACTACGTCATTTTGCTAACATAGTGTCATTGACTGCTTTTAATCTGATTGAAAGGGTGGTTGTTACCAGGATTACCAATGCTGACTTGGCGCATTGGGACTCTGCTGCCCTAAGCCCTAAACCCTGTTTGATGCCTTTTTCTTTTTTTCTTCAGGGCAGCTGCAGGTCTAGATTCTTGAAGTTAGTTAACCAGGGCTTTACTTTAAGTTACCATAGCAAAGACAGCACGTCATTTGCAATGTTTCCCAATGATGGAAACTAACCTCCTTATCAGGTTCTGTCACGAAGACAGATCGCCAAAACGGCCCGAAGATGCCTTGAATACAGAGCTGAGCCCTTAACGCACAAATCCAATCCCTAAATCAAAAAGCTCAAGTCCAAGTGCTACTTGACGTCTCAGCTGGCGAGTTTATCGTTTGCTGCTTTTTCTTCTCCTACACCCCCAGGGGTCTATTCTGTGAAGGATTCCGAGCCTTCGAATCATGCAGGTTGACGCCTCGAATGCCCCGGTCGGAAGGTTCCTTGGCTTGCCACGACATGTAGGAGTTTCCGAAAACTAGGGTACCTTTGTTTGGGGTCCTTATAATAAGGATCCTGCTATTTAGGGTACTATATTAGGGCCCCCTATTTCCGGAAACCCCCATGTAAACCAAGAGTGTTGTGCGACTTGCGAGGTCGACTTTGCGAGGTGTGAAACTCCACAGCAGGGGGTTTGAATTGGCGAAAGGGTTCAGCGGTTGAATGTTCGAGGCTTCGGGCTTCATTGGCACACGGCACATGATGAGTGCCTAAATCATCCTAAATCGATCTTGCTACAACAATCGCAGGTAGACACTCTGGGTCATTGCAGTGGCTCAGTTCTGGTTCTCTGAGTGCCTGCAACAAGATCTCCAGGACAAACATGTTAAAAAAAAACAAGCTCGATTGTTACTTCATGTGTATACCAAACTGGCGGGGTCAGGGTCAGGGTGGGGTGTGGCCACCCTGCGGTTGCACTACGACCTGCGGTCAAAATTAGTTACTAGCAGACAATGTGAAGTGTCGTGATAATGTGCAAGTTTGGATGCCTCATGCCACAGAGGCCAATCCAGCAAACCTGTTTCCAGCGATGACTTCCAATGAACGTATCCGTCTTGTAGGATCCATACTACAGCCGGTTTTCGCTTGGAAGTCTGGCGTGACGCTCGCCGCGAGGAATCGGAGACCTAACACAACGATGTACCGTGGAAACGATGGTTGTCTTTGGCTAGCAAAGGATCGGCGCACCCAGGTGTTTACTGCAAACGACGCCGAACTCAGACCAAAACCTTCAAACACTAAGTGTTGTTCCTACGGCTGCGTCGCTGCTTTCGTCTCTTCGCCGCTCAGAGCCGCCTTGCAAGGCACCTTCAATCGGTGCCTTTTGCTACCTTGCCGGGCTGCCGGGCGCGCTGCGTGACCGCTAAGCCGCTAAGCCTGCTTTCATGTCACACGCCCCTGACTCTGCTCCTAATGCCCACCCATCGTTCTATTCGTACATGAGCTTTGGGCGTTACGCCGGGCAGCGCCAAAACGTTCCTGTTGATCAGTCAGGTTTTGCGGCTGCCGCTTTGCGAAAAACGTTTCGCATAGGCGCATAGCCTCGGTTGCTCAGCAGCAACAGGAAGAGTGGATTCGGCGCTGGATTGTTCCAAGTCCCGACGCGAGTGTATCAGACTCTTCTGTTGAAACTACATGAGGAGAAGGTTCTTCTTGCATGCTCTTGGAAGCTGGTCAGCTTGCGAAGCTTCCATCTTGTGCGGCTGGTTGCCCAACTTCGCCCAGCTGTGGGCTGCGGTTTGGGGCTCCGAGCGATGGCAAGAGGATGCAAGAGCCTCCATTTATCCTCGCTGCCAAACCTGATGGCTTCAGGCCCCTGGCTATCGGTGGCCTCGCTTGGAGCATCGGGGCCAAGCGCATAGCCGCTCCATTTTTTGGGTGCATGTCATGAACTGAGTCCGACATTTTGTGGCGCCGTTCAGGGTCAGCGTTGCTGTCATGCCACCTTCGCCTGATTGAAGCTTCTAGAGGGCGATGATCACAAGGTTGTCGTTTCCCAAGCCCAGTATGAGTTTTTGCTACTTTCGTTTGATCCATAGCTTCTGTTCCTGTGCCGAGCGGCTGATTTCGTAAGGGCACTCAGACTGCTGGTGCTGTCCAAGTTTCCTTACATGGGCGGCGTGCATGACTTTGGGGATGCTTTCCTTCTTCAGCTCCGCTGCGACTTCCTTCGTAGAGTTGGATCAGGTTGCCCTGCAACGTGCGGCATGTCTTCTGCTTGCGAAGCTCCGTGGGTTTCGTGATCCTTGAATCGCTCTCCATGGAGCTGCTGTGCACGCTGCCTTGCGTTTTCATTCCCGAGCCGACATGGATGCATCACTGCCGTTTCATTCTGCCGTGTGCTGGTGCCTACGAAAATTTATCGTATGCTATGATTCCGAGGCTCGCCAGTCTAGGCTTCGCATGATGGTCTACATTCAAGCTTGTTACTCTCAAGCCAGCAATCTCAACACCCAGGTGCTTTTTCGTCTGCGCAGCGACCTCTTTCAGACTGAATTGTAGGATGGCTTGCGGCAGCGGGGCGAGCTGCAATCCCGAGGGTTTGTAATGTTTATGACGCGTGGAGCGGGACTTGTTCGTGGGGCAAGCAACCTTGACAATTGCCGAAGTCGCCAGAAACGACGCGCGTGCATGCAGAATGAAGGCTATGGCCCAGCTAAGGTTACAAGTGCCTAGTTGTTTAGACGAAACAAGATCGAACACCACTGGCATAAATCGAGAACGAATTGTGTATGATGGTTTTTAAGCGCTTCGTGTTGACGTCGTAGCTGAAGGAGCGGCTCAACAACTGCGCGGCCTCTTTGTTTAGGTCTTTCGGCACAAGCCTTTGTTCGCGCTTCTTTCAATCGCCCCGCATCGCTTCATCATGGCCGAGGCCGAAGCTGTGTACCGCTACGAGTCCGGAAACATCGCGCATGCTCCCAAGAAGGATTACGGTCCTTTAGACTTCACTGGAAAGCTGGCAGGAGGCCTGCGACTCGACATCCGCAGGCGAGCACCGCTCTACTGCAGTGATTGGACGGATGCCTTCAAACCGGAGAACTTCCAGAAATCGGTATCGTCCATCTTGTATCTGCTCATTCGTGTTGCAAAGTGCAGACTTTGTTTTGATTGAATTATTCTAGAGTGCTGTTATTCTGGGAGTGTAGTGTTTCTCCTTGGCCAACTGTGGCAGTAAGGTTCATCGCAGCCCTTGCTCCTGCGATTACCTTCGGCAGTCGGTTCCTTGACGGCACGAACGGCCAGTTCGGAGTGATGGAAATGATCATGAGTACATGTATCAGCGGTTTGATCTTCTCGACGTTTTCCGGCCAGCCCCTTTCCATCTTGGGAGCTGCCGGCCCGTTCTTGGCCTACACGCTTGTCGTCTATGATCTGGCAGTCGCGGTGGACGTGGAGTTCATGCCATTTTACTTCTGGACATGCATGTGGTGCTCCCTCTTCACTGTCTTGGTGGCGGTCTTCGACTTGTGTGCGCTCATGAAGCACGTCACGATGTTCAGCGAAGACATCTTCGCTGGATTCTAGGCCTTGGGTTGTTCAATGATAATTACATTGTTGTTGCACTTTGTTTCTGGGTTCCGATTTCAATATGATTAACATGAAAGTTGACGGTGTTATTATTGAACAGCCTAGGATTGATCTCGCTCATCTTCATCATCGATGGAGCCCGGCCGATCATCGAGAATTTCACGGAAAGCAGGTTGACGCTGACGAACTGCATGTTTGAAGCTCTCTTGTTCATCTGGACATTTGGTTTGGCAACATACTT